GGGGACAGCGAGTGGGTCTGGGGACAGTGTCTGGGGACAGCGAGTGGGTCTGGGGACAGTGTCTGGGGACAGCAAGTGGGTCTGGGGGACAGTGGGGACAGCAAGGGGGTCTGGGGGACGTGAGGACAGCGAGTGGGTCTGGGGACAGGGTCTGGGGACAGCGAGTGGGTCTGGGGGACAGGGGACAGCAAGGGGGTCTGCGAGACAGTGTATGGGGACAGCGAGGGGGTCTGGGGGACAGTGGGGACAGTGAGTGGGTCTGGGAGACAGTGGGGACAGCGAGTGGGTCTGGGGGACAGTGGGGACAGTGAGTGGGTCTGGGAGACAGTGGGGACAGCGAGTGGGTCTGGGGGACAGTCTGGGGACAGCGAGTGGGTCTGGGGGGACAGTGTGACAGTCTATGTGTGACACCTGAGCTCCGGGTGGCAGCTGGGAAGCCTGGCTGTGTAGGCTGGGCGTGTGGGGCCCTCCGGGTTGCTGCACCCGGGCCCCTCCTGGCACCCCTGTTCCTGGCTGTGTTTTCATGGCTGGGAGAGGAGTGGAGGGTAGGGAGGGTGGCCATCTGCATTCGGCCCGTGCCCCAAACTTCCTCGTCCTGTAGTTTAGGGTGTGTGCAGGGTCAGGGGGTTTCCTGGAGGAGGTGCTCACGGGGAGGGGCTGAGGCCGGGTGGTGGGACCCTGGAGGAGGCCAAGGTGGTGCTGTCAGGGCCCCTCAGGCCCTGCCCTGGAGCCCTCAGGCTTTCCTCCTAGGCCGGGCGGTGACAGCTGCCCCCCCATGCCCTTCAGGTGCCCGAGGGCCTTAGCCTTGCCTCAGTTTCCCCACGGCTGAGTGGGTTGGACCCTTGTCCAGGTGGAACAATGGGGCTTGTGTTTCCCAGGCTAAATATAGAACTGTGGCAGTCGCGCTGGCGGCCAGAATTCCCAGGAATCTGGGGGGGCCAGGCCTCCCGCCCGTGAGCCTGTGGGGGTCTCTGCAGGGGCCAGGGCCCAAGGGCCTGGCCTGGCGTCGGGTCCAGCGGAGCCCAGGTGGGGGTGGGGGTCCGGGGGGCTGGCCACAGCGGGAGGAGGGGCTGTTTGCTTTAGGATAAGGCTGGCTCCAGCCGCCGCCGGCCTGTCCCCCAGCGCTGTTCGCAGGCTGGCCCTCGGGGCCACGCTTCCGGCCCGTCTGGCAGTCACTCGGCTCTGTCCCTCCTCCCTGCAGTGACCGAGGGGGCATCCCTGCCGCCCAGTAGATGCCCGGGCTCCTCAAACTTCCTGCCTGGGGGTGGGGGTGGGGCTGGCAGTGGCCCCCGCAGGTCAGGCCATCCTTTCTCTGCCGCTGAGGCAGGCTCCCTCGGGGGCGGGTGTTGGACCAGCCCCAAGCAGGGAGGGATGCTGCCCCTCGGTCCAGGCACTGTCCTACCCCCGGACTTCCTGGGCAGTTGCATGTGTCCATGTGTGGCCATGTCTGTGTGCTTTTGGGGGTGGGGGGCTTGTGCCCAGGTGTCAGCCCGGGAGGGAGGCCCAGGGCACTGGACAAAGAGGGCTGGGGGGCGCCCTCTTTGTCCTGCAGCCTGGGAGGCCCTGTGAATAGTGGAATTTCAGGCAGTGACAGGTGGCGGACGGGGTCTGCCTGGGAGTGAGCCGGGACCCTGGACGCACCGGGGGGGCCTCAGGAGGCCCATTTGTCTGTGGGTCTGCAGACCTTCCCACTGCGAGCTGGGTGGGTGCCTGGGGGTCCCTGCAGACAGTTGAGTAATTGAGGAGAGGTGGGTCTCAGCCCACTCCTGCCTCTGCTCTTCTTGTGCCTTCCAGGGGGACCGGGGGGGCTGGAGAGGAGGGAGCTGGCTGGGGGCGAGGGACAGCCAGGGCCCGTGGAGCACTGTCTAGGAGCCACACGGTGGGGGTGGGAGTAGAGCCAGGATGTGGGTGCAGAAGAGAGATCCCCGAAAGGCTAGGGCGTGGCTGCATCTTCATGGGTGGGCTTTGCAGAGTGGGGTGTGCGGGCAGGGGTGGCTAGGAGCAGATGGGGACTGGGAGGAGCCCCCCGTGATCCCCAGACCCTGTCCTTTTTGTTTGTGGTCATAGAGGGAAGGTGCCCGTGTTCCTGTGTCCCTGACACCCCAGTCCCCCCAGCAGGGCTGGGGTGACGTTGCTGGACTCGGGACCCCCTCACCGCCTGGGCTGTCATCTGCCTCCATCCAAAGGGTACCGTCCCTCCCCCAGTGCCCCAGACGGAGGCGGTGAGGGCTCCTGCTCTGTGAGGGGCCCTGGGAGATGGGAGATGACAAACGAAAAGCTGCCACAGGAGTCTGGAGACCCCACAGAAGCACGCCGGGCCCTGGTTGCAAAGGCCAGCAACGTAAATCGCATGTTGAAGAAACACCAGCTGATTATTAAAAACACATGCCGCCTTCAGGCCCCATAGCGATAGCGTCTCAGAGCAGCCACTGCCTCCTGGCACCTCCTCCCGGCCAGGATGCGGCATGCTGGCTCTCCTGGCCTGGAGTGGGTGCTCAGGGGGTGTGGGCCGGAGCCTGGCGCACAGTGGGTGCTCAGGGGGTGTGGGCCGGACCCTGGCACACAGTGGGGGTTCAGGGGGTGTGGGCTGGAGCCTGGCGCACAGTGGGTGTTCAGAGGACATGGGCCTGGCATGCAGTGGGCCCTGGGTGAACGCTGGCCACTGTGGTCTGGGAGGAGGGCGCTGTGCTTGCAGGCCCCTGCTGCCTTTGCTGGGCAAGCGTGTCTGGGTGGAGTCCTGGGTGGGGACCCGGTGGGGACAGCCCCATCCCCTGGGCTCCCAACACCCACACCTGCCTCCGCTCCTGACCACCTGCCAGTCCCTTCCTCCCTGACCAAGCCCTCTGACCTGCCCTCAGGCCCCCCGAGGATGGCGGACAAGGTGGTCCCGCGGCAGGTGGCCCGGCTTGGCCGCACTGTGCGCCTGCAGTGCCCCGTGGAGGGGGACCCGCCGCCACTGACCATGTGGACCAAAGACGGCCGCACAATCCATGGTGGCTGGAGTCGCTTCCGCGTGCTGCCCCAGGGGCTGAAGGTGAAGGAGGTGGAGCGGGAGGACGCGGGCGCCTACGTGTGCAAGGCCACCAATGGCTTCGGCAGCCTCAGCGTCAACTACACCCTCATTGTGATGGGTCAGTGATGGCCGTGCCAGGGCAGCGGGGGCTGGGGCAGGGCTGGGCCTTGCCATGTGTGCCCTGAGACAACACGGCCCCGGGGGGGTCGAGGGGGCGGTTGAAACTTTCCCACCCACCCACCCACCTGACCTCCATCACCACCCCAGCCTGTGCCCTCCCCCTCCTCAGCCCCGCCTCGGGGGTCCTTCCTCCCAGGTCTTCCTCCCCAAAGTTTCTGCTGCCCTGGGGGCCAGGGCTGGCTGGAGGGCAGCGGGAGTGGGTATGGGGGGTGCCCAAGGTGGTGGTCCCACTGAAGGGCAGCCTGGGCAGGCTGGCAGCCTTGGCGTCGGCCATGACTTTGAGGCTCAGGTTTCCGAGTTCAGAGGGGCCGCCGGGAAGCTAAGAGCCTTCTGTTCTCTTCTGCCTCTGGGGCCGGGGCTTGGGGACTGGGCGGTGTCCCCAGCGACACGCCCTCCGCTTGCTAGTACCAGGCGCTGGCGCCCGGCCCTCCCCCACGGGCTGCCGGGTGTGGGTCCTGTGGGGAGGAGTCTCCTGGGTCCCTTGGGGTGGGTCTCCTGGGCGTGGGTCCCTCGGGGCAGGGGGCAGGCTCCTTGGCAGCCATGTGGGCCCATCTCACAAAGGAGCCTGACCTGCCCCCCCCCCCCCCACTGTGTCCCAGGGTGAGGGCCTGAGACAGCCTGGCTATGATCCTGGGCTCGGTGGAGGCAGCGGCTGTCATGGGGAGGGGGCATTCCTCAGCATGCCCCACCCCCAGTCGGGCCCCTCGGGCCTTCTCTGGGCTGTGGAATGGGAATACTGCGGGTGTCCCCCCACCGTCATTTCAAAGGGGAGGATGACCAGGCGGTATGCGAGCCGTGTCAGCTCACCAACCCCTCGGCCCCTTGATGTGGGCTAGGGTTACCGCAGCTGCCGGCTGGGCCCGGCCCCCTCCTCCCCAGCCCTGCAGACCCCTCGGAGCCGGGGTGGGGGGGCTAGCTCTCTGGTCCCACCCACGCCTGTCGGGGTCACCTGCACCCAGGGAGTGGGCCGGGCTGGCGGCCGCTCCTGCCCAGCTGTCTCTAGGATTCTGCGATGTGGGTGTGCGCCTATGGCCTCCTGCTTGCTTTCTAGAGCTTTCCCAGTTGGGCCCGCGGCTGGGGCCTGGGAACCAGCCTGGGGTCTGCGTTGGGGGGCTGGGGGCCATGCTGAGGCCCGGTGGGGGTTGCTGGGGCCCCTCTCACACGATGCGCCCTCCCCTCTGCAGATGACATCAGCCCGGGGAGGGAGAGCCCAGGGCGTGATGGCCCCTCGGGGGGCCAGGAGGACCCGGCCAGCAAGCAGTGGGGTGAGCGTGCGGCTGTCACCGTCCTCCTTGGGTGCAGGTGGGGCCAGCCTTCCCGGCGCCCGCTGACCTCTGTGCTCCTGCAGCGCGGCCCCGCTTCACGCAGCCCTCCAAGATGCGGCGCAGGGTGATTGCACGGCCCGTGGGCAGCTCTGTGCGGCTCAAGTGCGTGGCCAGCGGGCACCCGCGGCCCGACATCACGTGGATGAAGGACGACCAGGCCCTGACTCGCCCAGAGGCCAGCGAGCACAGGAGGAAGAAGTGGACGCTGAGCCTGAAGAACCTGCGCCCCGAGGACAGTGGCAGATATACCTGCCGCGTGTCCAACTCTGCAGGCGCCATCAACGCCACCTACAAGGTGGACGTGATCCGTGAGTGCGGGCCGGGGGCCGGGGGCTGGTGGGCACCATCAACACCACCTACAAGGTGGACGTGATCTGTGAGTGCGGGCTGGGGGCCGGGAGCTGGCAGGTGCCCGGGGTCGGCGCCCACACGCTGTGTCCCTGTGCAGAGCGGACGCGCTCCAAGCCCGTACTCACGGGCACGCACCCCGTGAACACAACGGTGGACTTCGGGGGCACGACGTCCTTCCAGTGCAAAGTGCGCAGCGACGTGAAGCCAGTGATCCAGTGGCTGAAGCGTGTGGAGTATGGCGCTGAGGGCCGCTACAACTCCACCATTGACGTGGGCGGCCAGAAGTTCGTGGTGCTGCCCACGGGTGACGTGTGGTCGCGGCCCGACGGCTCCTACCTCAACAAGCTGCTCATCACCCGCGCGCGGCAGGACGACGCGGGCATGTACATCTGCCTGGGAGCCAACACCATGGGCTACAGCTTCCGCAGTGCCTTCCTCACCGTGCTGCCGGGTGGGTGGGCCTGCTCCACCCCCTACTCCCCGCCCCCGCCTGGCCCACGCGGACAAGAGCGCCCCCGTCCGGCAGGGCACTGCCCGGGGGCTCACCTGTGTCAAGGGCCAGCCTCGTGCAGGCACTCCTGGGCCCTGTGGTGACGTTCCCCTCCCCACCTCCTTCCTTGGTCTCTCCTGCAGACCCAAAGCCGCCGGGGCCACCCATGGCCCCCTCGTCCTCGTCCACCAGCCTCCCGTGGCCAGTGGTCATCGGCATCCCGGCCGGCGCTGTCTTCATCCTGGGCACCGTGCTCCTGTGGCTCTGCCAGGCCAAGAAGAAGCCGTGTGCACCCACACCGGCCCCTCTTGTGCCTGCACACCGCCCGTCTGCACCCGTCCGAGACCGCGGCGGGGACAAGGACCTGTCTGCACCGGCCGCCCTGGGCACCACCCCTGGCATGGGGCTGTGTGAGGAGCTTGGGCCCCCGGTGGCTGCCCAGCACCTGCTGGGCCCAGGCTCAGCTGCTGGCCCCAAGCTCTACCCCAAACTCTACACGGACGTGCACACGCACACGCACACGCACTCACACACACACTCGCACGTGGAGGGCAAGGTCCACCAGCACCAGCACATCCACTACCAGTGCTAGACAGTGCTGCCTCTCGGGGTGCCAGCCCACTCGAGCTGCAGTGCCACAGGGTGGGCATGTGGAGGCAGGCGGGGCAGAGGGCCACGGAGGGGGATGGACACAGGCGAGAGGCATGGCCAGCACCCTGGGCGCCATGTGTGAGGCGCGCGCACACACACACACACACTGACACCTGCAGACATACACACACACTGACACACTCAGGCCGAGCACCTTAGGGAAGGTCTGTGTTTGTAACTTTGCAGTGCGCATGTAGCAATGGGCTAGTAGATGAAGGAAGGCCTTGGCCCTGGTGAGGAGAATTTCATGGGGGCCATGGCCACCCCTGGCCTGGCAGGAGATCTGAGAGGCACCCTGGCTTTGCAAACCAAAAACCCCGACCCCTGCCCTGTGCCTGCCTGCCTGTGTCCCTGCCCAGGCCTCGGCAGGCGGGAGGCTATTTTTGCCACCACCTGTCTTGGGTGTCCAGGAGTCCACCTGGGCCGGGGGGTCGGGCATAGCAGTTCCAGGCCCAGTCCTGAGAGGCTGGAGCCTAGGGAGGGGTGAATCCCGCCTCACCCAGCCTCCCACTGCCAGAGAGAAGGGGCCCTTGATATTTATATTTAAGAAATTAAGATAATAATATTAATAATGATGAGGGCTGGGCTGCAGAGACCGACCTGGCCTTGTGGCCATGCTGGATGTCCAGCTTGGGGCCGGGCACCCTTCACTCCACTGCCTGTGGTGGCCGCAGACCTCTGTAAGTTTATAGAGTTTGAGCTGAAGCTTCGTATATTTAATTTATTTTGTTAAACAAGGAAACGTGCATCCTTTTCCTGTAAACTGATCTTTCTGCCTGTGTCTGCATCTGTGCGTGTGCGTGTATGTGTGCCCGTGTCTGTGTACAGGTGTGTGCACGTGTGTGTGTGTGCCCGTGTCCATGTATAGGTGTGTGTGTGTGTGCAGGGGCCCGTGTCCATGTACAGCTGTGTGCGTGCCCGTGTCTGTATACAGGTGCGTGCGTGTGTGTGCGTGGGCCTGTGTCCATGTACAGGTGTGTGCAGGTGTGTGTGTACATGCATGTGTGCCTGCGTATGAGGCACACGGGCCCACACACACGTGCAAACACTCTCCAAGAGCAGAGAAGGCTCTCAGGAGTCTCGTCGCTGGGCCTGTGGTTCTGGGGCTGAGACCAGGCGTCCCTGGGGCCTCATCAATGCCTCCGAACGGGACTCGGGCAGCCGAGTCTGCAGCACTGCCCCACACAGCTTCACGCGCCTCCCTGGCTAGCCAGAGTCCTGCACCCTGGCCCAGTGAGTGTCCCCTCGTTGTCCTGGCACAGCCCCTGTGGCCCTCAGAGCAGGGCCGTGCTGCTCCATCCTGTGCTCGGGGGCCAGTTGGGTGGCCTTGGTGGGGGGGTGGGCTGGCCTGGGAGGGCTGGGGCCTCGCTGTCGCCTCCATCCAGGCGCCTGCTGCCTGAAGGGCCCTGTTGGAAGGGTCTACCAGCTGCCCCTGTGTTGTGCAACAATGGGCTCGCTCTCCAGATGGGGAAACTGAGGCTTACAACTCGCTCAGCTGGCGCACAAGTGTCAGGTTGCCTCTGGCCCAGGGGTTCTGAAGCCTCTTAAGAAAAGCACTGAGATAACGCGTGCGATTCTAGCACAGCCGCTGGCGTGAGGCTCGTCGTATCGCTGAGCCTCAGGTGGTCCGGTGGGAGGGGCACGGCCTTGCCAGTGTCTAGGGCACTGCCCGGCCGGCCCTGCTCCTCAGAGCTCCAGGAAACAAGGGCAGGCTCTGCTTGACCCTGCAGGCCAGGCATCCAGTCCTTTCCGGGTGCTGCTGGTCCTCTTCAGACTGCGTCCCCAAGGTGAGGCCTGGGCCTCCTCCTCCGACCCCTCCCACTGGGGTGGTGCCCCCCAGCTGAGGGCGGGTCTGGGTCCCATCCCTCTCCTCTGGTCCCCAGGGCTGGGCCCCACTCTCCTGCCCCCTCCTCCTTGGGGATGCCCATGCAGAGCAGGATGGGGTCCCCGTCCTTGATATCCCCTCATCCTCTGGCCTCCCAGGGTGGACTCCACTCCTGTCCCCAGAGGGACAGGGCTAGCCCCGAGGGAAGCCCCCTGGGGTGGTCCTGACTCCATGGGCAGTGACCAGGCTTGGAGCAGGGCCAGCAGCCTCCAAGTGACAGAGGCCACTTAGGTGGACGCCATGGGAGACTGAGGCCTTGGCTGGCGGTGGGACGCCCTGCAGCAGTGACCAGGGGCAGCAGTGGGGCTGTAGGCGGCCCACAGCTTGTGACCGAACAGATGTTCCCAGATAGGACAAGCTGCAGGGCGACACCTGGCTGGGTTTCAGTCCGAGGTGGGGGAGGGGTGGAGAGAAGGATGACCTTAGGCAGCAGGGAGACCTCAGGCAGTGGGCCATCTCTGGGTCATAAGGGGTGAGCTGCCCACTCCCCAGGCACCACTGAGGGTATGGTCCCCCAGAACCTCCACAGCAGCCTCTGGGACTCCCGACCTCGTGTGGGTGTCTCAGCCTGACGTCCAGTGCAGGCCACCTGGGCTCTTGGGACCGCCCTCGTCATCCTCCCTAGGGAAGTCGGAGGGGCAATGACCTGCCCCCCCCGACCCACATGGCCACTCTCTCATGGGCAAGACAGGCCTGGCAGAGCCCGGGGCCTGGTTCTCTCTGAGACCAGTGGCCCTAGGCTCCCCATCCCCCGAGGGCCCTTTCAGGGTCCCTGAGGAGAGACAAGAGCTGGTGGGCATGTTGGGGTGCCTGGCTGGGCAGGCAGACCTACGGAAGACCAGACACACCCTCATGAGCCTGCCCTGCCACCTTGAAGCCCAAGCCCCCACTGCCCACCAACCATACCCTGGAGCCCGGAGCCCCCCTGGAACCCCCCACACCCTCAGCTTCCTGCTCTGGGGGCCCCCAGGACCAGCCTGCGCCCCTCTCAGGGGCCACCTGGAGGGGGTCAATACCTCTTTGCTCCCGCTGCAGCTTCCAGACCCTTCTCCCACGGCTCCCCCAGTCCCCAGCTCCGAGCCCCAGCTCCCTGCCTATGCTCCAGCCCAACCCTGCATGACCCCTGGGAGATTTCATGCCCACATGGACGTCCCTCAACCTTGGCTCCTGCCCCCCTGGCTGCAAGGCCCTTTTTGAGCCCCTGCCGTTGCGGAGGTGTATGCAGGCTGCCTGCACCCCACACTCCCAGGATGGAAGCTCCTTTCCCTGCACCTCCACGTGCAGGGACAACAGAGGGGACAGAGGCTGGTGGGTGCTCACCGCGGGGGTGTGGGCGCAGGGCTGGACAGAGGCAGGGGGCTGGGCCTCAGCCACCCTAAATGGACGTTTGCTGGCTGGCTCGCCGACTGACTGGCTGGCAGTGGTGGTGAAGGCTGGGCAGTGGAGCTTCCCTGGAGCCCCACTCCACCAGACTCCGCACTCCCATCTCCCCGGGCGCTGCCCCCTTGGGGACCCCCAGGCTGGGTGCAAGGGGGCACGCACACGCCGGGTCCTGGGGGACGGGGCAGGGTGGGGCCAAGGGGAGTGCGAGGGGCTGGGGGGTGGGGCCGCGTCTCCCATGGGCTTGAGGGGCCACGCTCTGGGCCTTGCCCCTCCGTGGTCAACCTTCCGCGTAGACCGAGGCCAGGCCCCAAAGTGCCCTTGGCTGCAGGCAGAAAGACCAGTGGACAGCCGCCAACGCTACGGGGACCACAGCAGGAACACAAATGCCTCCTGTCCCCGCTCTGTGGGGCTCCCTGTGTGCTGGGGTGGGCCTGGGTCCTACCCTGGGGTCTCCAGTCTGGAGGTAGAGAAGGGGGATCCAGCTGTGTCCTCAGAGTGACCCCAGGCCAGGCCAGGCTGGGTGGGACTTCCGATGGCCATTTGGGGAGGAGACTCCTAGTGTCCTTGGTGGGGGTGCTGGGGCGCTAGGTGGGTGAGCGTGCTGGGGTGCTGAGCCAGGCCAGCGTTCTTCCCTCTGATCGTCCCCCGGCAGTGATAAGCCGGATCCCTTGAAGCCGGGCAAACTTGAAAGTGTGGCCCAGGCTGTGACGCCCTTGGGTGTGACTGCCCCCCTGCTGCCCCGCCCTGCTGGCTTCAAAGGGGTGTCCGAGAGCCGTCCTGCAGCTGTCCCAGAGGGGGGGCCTGAGGCTGATGCCCAGGGAGGGGCAGTGTGACAGGAGGCCGAGGATGAGGGAGATGGGGGAGAACCCCACCCCCACGGGCCTCGGGTCGGGAGGGGCTGGCAGGAGATCAGAGCCTTGTCCTGGGGCCAGGCCAGGAGACCTGGGACAGGAACGCAGGATGTGGGACACAGGAAAGGGGGCAGGAATGTGGGGCATGCAGTCAGAACGGAGGATGGTGATACCTCAAACAGCACACATCGGCCTGGGACTCAGGGTATGGGATCAAGGAACCCCAACCCCGGGGTAGGGCTTGCAGGGGCTTGGACCTGCTGCGGGGGCCCAGCTGAGACGGAGGGGCTGAAGGGCAAGTGCTCCCCGGGGTGACCTTGCCCAGGCCCAGGGCACAAGGCTGGGCGGCACGGAGACATGCGGGCCTGCGGGCTGGGACTGCTGTGAGGTGGGCTACAGAGACAGGGACTCCCACAGGGCCGAGCCTATGGGAGCTGGGTATCCCGGGCTGGGCTGGGACATGGGGAAGCAGCCCCTACCCCATGCCTGGCACCAGCATCTGGCTGGAGCATCTCCATGTGTCCAGGAGATCAGAGTGCTCAGTGGAGGCAGGGGGCTGATGCTGCTTGTCATGCGGTGGTGCGGGGCAGGGGCAGGGCCTGGTGACGAGGGGCTCCCTCTGTGCCCTGCGCTGACCTCACAGCCTGCCCGGCCCACATGGCCGGCCAGGCCTGGCTGGGCCCAGGACCCTCGCACACAGGCCACGTGGGCACCAGGACGGGGCTGGGGAAGCTGGGGCCAGGGGGCTCTCCTGGGGACCCTGGGGGCTTGGCTAAATGGCGACCCAGGCCCTGTGTTCCCAAGGTGACCCAGGGTACTGGGGTTCAGGCTTTATTTTTAGAGCTCATGACACTGCCTCTGAGGAGAGAAATATTTGCCCAAGGGATGTTCCTGTCTAAGGCTGTGGCTGGGGGTGGCTGATGGAGGGCCCTCACTGGTCATCCTATGCTGGCTGAACCAGCTACTGCTGTCGTTCAGGAACCCTCGGTGACCCGGCAGCAGAGCTGGCCTGGAGCAGCCAGCTCCGGTGGGCAGGTGGGATCCAGGAAGAGTCGGGGGCTTGCCAGGAGGGACCCTCCCTGCGCCCGTACCTCCAGCCCCACACTGGGCTCTGAGTGGCCTTGGCCTCTGGAAGTGGAAAGGGGGTTTGTGGTTTCCGAGGCCCCATGGGCCCAGTGGGGGGCAGGGCTGGTTTGAAGCAGGAGTGAAGGAGGGAGCAGACCCAGTCTGAGAGTTGGCCAGCTCTGCTCACCTCCCACCTGGTGAGACTGCAGCACCCGGGAACCCCCTTGCAGCCCCTAGATGTGCTCCAGGCCCAGCAGGACAGCCAGTGCCCTTGGGGCCTCTGGGCCCCAGGCTCTTCACTGAGCCCTCAAGCCGTCTGTCTGCCCCACGTCCCAAGGACCCTGTGCTGCAGCCTTCCTAGCCAGCCCCACGCCCCGGCAACCCTGGCACAGTCCCTCAGGTGTCCTGCCCCCAGGCCTGCCCCGGCTGCTCCCCAGCCCAGGACTGACCCCACTGGCAGCTCTGTCCTCCAGCACTGACTGCCCAGCCTCGCCTGCTGGAGCCCTGTGAAGGTCCATGCT